GAGTGAGAGAGGGAGAAGCAGGCTTCCCGCCGAGCAGGGAGCCCAATGCAGGGCTCGATCCCAGGACCTTGGGATCATGACCTGAGCTGAAGGCAGACACTTAATGACTGAACCACCCAGGTGCCCCCAGAATTACTGTTTTTAAATGCCAGGGTTTCGTCCTGGTTCTGGATTTTTACCCTCCACAAGGACAGCAGGCTTTACGCTCTAAACAGATCCAGGCTTTCTACCAGTTCGAGCTAAAACGGGGAGGAAGTGCTGGCAACCAGCTTGTGGGGTACAAGGACGTTCCTGACTCTAACTGCCCCAGCCCCCAACAGGTGAGAGCATCAGATGACAAGGGGGCAGAGGGTTCATTCGTTTTCCAGAAACGTGAAACCCTGGATTTTTAAAAAATCTCTCGGCTACTGGGAAGCAACGCCTGCGTAGCCATCAGATAAGCCTCCTGTGTTATAAATGGCCCAAGTGACTCCTTGCCAGCTCTGCGGCGACGATTCTGTATTGATCCCTCAGTGTTCATCAGTGTATGACAAGGAATTTCAAGGTGAAAGTGTCTCCAAGAGCCCCTGGGCGGGATTCCTCGGAAGCACTGACCTATTTTTAATTAGTGAAAGAAATGCCACTGTTAGGTCCTGGAGCGCAGAAAGTGGTTCCATAATTTTCAAAAAGTAGGGAAAGCAGGGGGATGGCGTGGGAAGAGTCCACTTCCTTTCCTTGGGCAGGTGAAGGAGGCTGACAAGCTGACAGCGTTAATTAACTGAGAGAAGCAGCAGGAGGCTGCTAACTGAGCACAGAAGGCCGCCTCCTCCCCACCTTCCAGCTCGCCCTGTGGCTCTGTGGCCTCCCTCCACCTGCAGGGCCAGGTCCGGGGCCAAGGCCAGGACGGAGCCCCGGGGAGCCTGCACGCTTCTGCTCCTATACGGTTGTGTTGTGTCTGTGGGTTGAGTTGTGTTTGTTTCTAATCCTGTGTATGCCCGGTTGTACCTGAAATTCTAATGATGTGATTTAAACAAATGCCACGGAAAGCGGTGAAACGTTCGCATGAAAGAGACTCCCTGTCTCCATGTACACCACGTTGAAAATCCTGGGGAAACTCAATAATATTTGAAGGAGAGAAGACAGGACCTGGGGGAGCATCGTTTTTCCAAATGCTCTTTGCGCTTCGGGTCCCCTTTAAAGAAACCCGCAGTGGCAGCCGCGGGAGATGCGCAGTTGCTGAGGTTTCTGCAAGATGGGCCGGGTGAAAAGGAATGGGGTTTTAGAGAGACCTGTACCCTGGAACAATGCTGCACCGTCTGCTCGAGTCTTGTTGCGAACGTCTTTCACGGCAGACAGCACACTGGCTCTTCTGATGCTGCACGAGATCGCTCAGAGCTCTGGCCCCTTTTTTGGCCCTTTTAAGCCTCTTTGGTGGCAGCTACTGGCTTGGAAAGGAAGCAGCTGGAGTTAGGGGAGAGTGATCCTGTCCAGGGAACTCCACAGGAGGGGAGCCCACTTTGCAGGAAAAACAGAAAGCACCCCAGCAGGACAGGCTGCAGACAGGAAGGAGAGAATTACGCAGGCATTAGGGCCAGAACAGCGAGTACAAAAGGGCAAGTTCACCGCAGAGGAAGCGGGCTCACTGACTTCCCCAGCTCCTGTCTGGCCCCCGTGCAATTTCTGCACCGTCTATAAACCCCGGCCAACAGCGGCTGATTGTTTCCAGAGTACGCGAAAAGCACAGACTTCTTTCGATCCGAGCTACCTCCTGCTAAAACTGGGCCTGGGCCCTGTTGCCAACTTCCTCCCCAGCCAAGCCCCAAGCAAACGACTCTGCCTCCACGGGTCCAGCTGTAAAATGGGGGACATGGCGCGGAGAGGCCCGGGGGACCATCCACATGGCAAAAGCTTTAATGAATGACGGCTCATAGCAACAATGTGGCGCGGAAACGCCGGAACCACGTGCCGGTGAAGGCTCCAAGAAGCCGTCTCCCTGGGGACCTCCTTAAGGAGTCAGCAATTTCTCAGGGGAGATTCGGGTTATAAAGAAACTGCCTGCCTTCGGGCTGTCATGCTTCAATAGAGAAACCGGTATGGGACGGCCAGACTGGCAGGGAGTCCCCAAGCAAAACCAACTCCCAGCTGCAAAGCAAAGAGACACTTTGCTTTGGATAAACACGCAAGGACCCAGACTTCAAGGACTCCCCGGCAGACTCAGGCAGCAAAATGAAGACACCTTCTAATGAGACCCTTGATTATGGTTTCTCTTAGTCTTTGGTTGTCAAAAATCCTCCATCTAAATATGAACCAGATTCTTTATTAAGCCTTTCTTGTCTGGGATTATCTCCCACTAATTCATTGCTGGCTTCTGCTTCTTGATAAGGAAAGCCAGGCATAATCTTTTTAAAAGGTCTTAGATGGATGTGATTGCCAGAAAGAGTGCTAACACCCCCCCCAAAAAAAATACAAACCCAACTTTTCAAGCCTTTACTATGTATTTTCTTAAACCTCTAACTCACTTTTAGATGCGTTATTCTATTTAAAACCTTATAACCTCATGAGATCGATTTTATTGTCCTCATTTGGGGGTCTGGGGGTGGGGGTGCTTAGCAGATGAGTAAATGCAGCCTTCAAGTGTCCTAACTAGGATCTGAGCTCCAGGCTCCTTTTGCCACACACTATACCACCTCCCCATAGCCCTGAGCCAAGAACCACTGATTCCAACATCTATGTCCTCGCTCTTAAATAGGTAGGTGTTATTTTTAAAATTGTAGTCACCTTTGTAAAGCAATAAATAAAATTCATTCTGGTGTAAAGTTACAGATGTATGCACACAGTTGTGTAACTACCACCGAAACCAAGATACGGGATGGTTCTATCACACACACACACATACACACACACACCAAAGCTTTCATATTGCTTTTTGTGAACAATCTCTTCCCTCACCCCAATTCGGGCAACAACTGATCTGTTTTCAGCTCCCATAATTTTGCCCTTTCCAGACAGTATCTGCCATCTGAACATTACCACCACTGATGAATTCGAAGGGTGTTCACCCTTCTCTGTGACTAGAAACCCAGAAAAGCAACGCAGGAACAGTAAGTGGGCTGAGGCCTGGCACAGGACACAAGACAGCACCGAAAGCTAGCGAAAGCTTCAAAATACCCTCTGGCTCTCCCACCCCGAAGGAAGCAGCAAAAAATTGTGGGAAAGCTTCAGGATTTCAGTAGGTGGAGAGAAGGTGGGGGCTGGGGGCAGGAAGGCCCCGGAGCTCAGAGAAGCAGCCACTGTCGCTCTACTACTCCCTGGAGTTACAATCTGGGCCTCCTCCTCACCAGAAAATTCATGTATCATTCTATGATAAAGTTCTACACTATTCACTCTTGACTTTGCATTCCTACTTCATAGCTCTGTTTTCCTACGGTCAGATGGGCAGGTGCTCCTAATCGTATGCGAGAAGAATAATCCTCTTAGAGCTGGGAATGTCATCCGCCAGAGAGCCTGGAGGGACAATGGCACAGAAGGGAGGGAAGAAGGGAGGCTCCTCCAAAAGGTGGAATTTGCTGAATCAGTCCTGACCCATGTCCCAGCGGACCCTATCCCTCGCCTGGCTTGGCTCCTGCCTTGGCTCCTGGCTGTCCTGGTACTGAGTTTCTGGGAGCCCTCTGTGGACAGTCAACCCTACTTTCAAAGGCTCAGACCCAGGGCCCGCAGTATTTTCAACCCAGAGCTGTGACCCCCTGGCTTAGGTGGCACTTCCCTCCCCACAAGAATCTTCTTTCCTGCCAGCCGACTCCACCAACAGGGCTGGTAGCCACCTGCAGTGCCCCAGCTAACAAAGGACTTGCGACCATCTAGAGCTCAATTTAAAGCCTAACTTAAGAGGCCAGCAGGATTCCAGGGAGTGACAACAGCCCTCTTTCTCATAAGATTATTCAATTCAAATATGGGATCAAGTATCAATTTTCCAAACAGTCCAGAAGGCAGTGACTGCAGCCCAAGTTGCCAGTGAGTGTCTGGTCCTACAGATAGGACAGGCAGGCCTGCCCGGGGGAGTCGGGGTGGGGGTATTTGTGGCACAGGTCTGGGGGGGGCATGTCTAATGTCACATGTGAGCCGTGAACATGAAGTGATATGTTCCTTCAGCCTCACCAGGATTTTGTTTCCTTTTAATTTAGAACACCTGAGTACCTAGTCAGAAAAAGAGCTCGAAAGCCTCCTGGTGTGGTACTAAAATTAGGGGGGAAAAAGTTGCCAAGAGAACGTTCATTGAAAAGTGTCTTATTAGGGTTGGAGGGGAAAGTGGTGGGGGGAGAGATGGACCAGGGAGAGAAGGGGGGGGGGGGGGGGGAAGGGGGGGGGCGGGGGGGGGGGGGGGGGGGGAGTGGAGCACTTCTCTCTTCATCTAGGTCGCCTTGGAGTGAAATGTTAATTAAATAAATCCACATTTTAATTATATAGATGATATATACATATGTATATATCATAAGCCAAGTATCAGGGTTTTTTAAAAAAAATGCAAAGAGTATATTACAAATATCCATTATGACATTGTTTGGGCCAAAACAAAGGGATGCATACATATATTTGAATGTTTGATTCTACTCAATACTAATATAGAGAGAGATATTCTAATAAATACTGATATATAGATTCTAAACATATAACTAAATACACACGGGACACATATAACAGTATACACAACAATATGTTATATACAGCATATGTGCTGAATGCTGTATATATTAATTATATACCAGATTTCTATTCTAACTCTAGCCATTAAATTAGAACATCGAACTAAATATGCCAAAAATGATTCTTTTTGCTCTTTTATATTTAAAACTTCCACAAAAATTCTACATTATTTTGTAATCGTTTTCCAGGATTATTAAAACCTTCAAAAGGTTGCATGGTTTGATGGGTCGCCCTCCCAATATTTACTGTTCCCATCTGCAGTGTGGCCCCAAAATACCCCTCTGAGTGGGGACCCTGTGAGGCTATAGAGATGGACAGACCTCTTTCTGTTCGCTGCCAGCAAAGTACAGAGATGGACTTGGGTGAGCCTTCCAGTCTTCAAAGGCCTGCAAAGGGGTCTTCCTCTCAACTTCAGAGTGGAGCCTGGGGGAGATGGCAAGAGTGGATGGACAGACGGGTCCCACTAAGTCATCTGTCTGCTTCTCGTCTTCCGCAGACAGTGTGCATGTGGCCTCCTGGAGCTGTAGGCTCTGGATAAGCAACCGACAAGCTTCCAAGTCAGCTCCCCACACTTTTCCAAGGAGTGGACACTTGCAGCTGAAACAGAGGGGAAACAAAGGCAGAAAGACTTATTCTGTGATGTTTCATCTTACCAAGTCAATAGCCTTTGCGCTTTACCAATAGTCAATAGCGCGTCATCTTATACCTAACAACTTAATTTCATATACTGGTGGATTGTTTCAACCAGAAGGTAGAGAGGGGTCAAATCTGTATACCATCAAGTAACAGTGAAATAACCAGTGGTCCTTCTTAGCTACTGGTTCTGCAAGGACATCCAAGATCTGGTGTATTTTTCCAGACTCAGTGGTCCAGTACAACACAGCCCCTGCTCCTGCCTGTGCTCCAGCCCAGCTGGCTTCCTTTGCGTCCCTAGACTTTTCCAACTCCCCCAGCTAAGTGCTTTTTCATATACCTAGGCTGTCCCTCCCCACCATGCCCGCCTACCAGTACCTACTCACCCAGGTAACTGAGTGCAGCAGTGCATGGGTAATACAAACCCTAGCACCAGACCAGCAGCTTCAGTGACAGAAAACAACAGAGCAGAATGGACTCTGGCTAGTAAGAAGAGCATACCCATCTACAAGGAGCCCTTCATCAGCCCAGGCCAACTACAATTTCAAGTCCAACTAAAGGAATACAGGTTTGATGTTCACCAAAAAAATTGTGATTTTTCATGAAAAGTCAAAAACCTGGGATTTTATAGGAAAATACACATTTTTCACCCATCCATTCAGCTTCCAGCTGGATATTTTCTAGACATCTATCTTCCTTTTAACAACCCTTCCTTCTACTATGTTTAATCTGCTGTTCAATTATCTATTGTGTTCTCAATTTTTGTTATTTTACTTTTCAGTTCTATAATTTTTATTCCATTTTTTTCTACATTTCAGTTCTGTGGTGGAATTAATTATCCATCATGACCTCTAGCTACTTAAACATATTAATCATCATTAGTTTAAAGCCTATGTTTATAAATGATGAATTCAGGAGGAAAAAGAATGAGACAGAAACAGCATTATTGAGATACGAACTAAGGATGTTAAAATATTGGCAAGGGACATCAAACTACACATTCAGAAAACACTACAATTTTAAAACAGGGGGGAAAAATCAAAGAAAAAAAAAAAGAAATGCACCTGCGTCATCCTAGTGAAAATGCTGAACACCAAAGAAGCAGGCAGATAAAAGAAGGCATTAACTTCAGAGGAACAATAATATGAGTAATAGAAGCCAAGAGACAATAAAACAGCATCTTTAAAATGCTATAAGAAAATAACTGTCGGGCGCCTGGGTGACTCAGTGGGTTAAGCCACTGCCTTCGGCTCAGGTCATGATCTCAGGGTCCTGGGATCTAGTCCCACATCGGGCTCTCTGCTCAGCAGGGAGCCTGCTTCCCTTCCTCTCTCTCTGCCTGCCTCTATGCCTACCTGTGATCTCTCTCTGTCAAATAAATAAATAAAATCTTAAAAAAAAAAAAAAGAATGCCAGGTGATGTGCAGAAAAATATGCTAAAAAAAAAAACGAAAATAACTGTCAATCTATAAATTACACAATCATTTTCAATTTCCTTCAAAAGTAAAAGTAAAATAAAGATATTTGCAGGTAAATAAGAACTGAAAGAATTCCTTGACAACACATCCAGCATAAAATGATCCCAGCTGAAAGCAAGGACGTGCATAAAGAAACGAAAAACAATGGGAAGAGTAAATATGTGGATAAATCTAAGTAAATATAGATGTAAGAAACAGCAGTAATTTCTTTTGTAGTCTAAAATATGTGTCAGATTAAAATACAGGACAACCAGCACAAAAGGAAGAGGGACCTTGTGTTGTCCAGAAAGCAAAAGAGTGCTCATTTATATCAGACTTTAAAAAGTCAAAGATTCATATGTAATCCTCTATGATAATTGTAAAACAGAGAGGTTAAAATAATGTATAACTGACAAGCTAATATGAGGGAACATTTTAAAAAATAAACATACTTAATTTTTAATCAAAGCAATAAAGGAGACAGGAATGAACATGATACAGATGGGAAAAATGGTAAAAGTAGAAACATTTATGCCCAAATATATTAAGATTTACATTAAATATAAATAGACAAATATTGTATTTAAAGGCATAGTTTTTAGACTAGAATTAAAAAAATCAAAATGTAATTATATGTTGCTTACAAAAGGAATACATTAAATATAAGGATACAAACTGATCACAAGTTAAAGGGTAAGAATGATACATTATGAAAGCATTATTAAAGACAGTAATTGTCTGTAGTGGGAAAAGGTCAGTCTTTTCAATATACTGTACTTATGTCAATAAATATCACTATAGGAAAAAAAATCAAATCATGATTACTGGCTCACATTACAAACATCAATTTCAGGGGCGCCTGGGTGGCTCAGTGGGTTAAAGTCTCTGCCTTCAGCTCAAGTCATGATCCCAGGGTCCTGGGATCGAGCCCCGCATCAGGCTCTCTGCTGGGGGGAGAGCCTACTTCCCCCTCTCTCTCTCTGCTTCCCTTTCTGCCCACTTGTGATCTCTATCTGTCAAATAAATAAAATCTTTAAAAAAATCAATTTTAGGTAGATTGTAGATCAAAATGTGAAAGTTAAAACATTAAAACCTCTAGAAGATAATGTAGGATAATATCCTTATGATTTCATAGTAAGCAAAGTTCTTTTAAACAGGATATAAAAAGGACAAGCCTTAAAGAAAACAAATGGTAAGTTCGACTTCAGTTATATCACAAACTTATATATTCGTGAAAAAACACCACTGAGAGAATGAAACCATAAGCCACAGAGTTGGAGAAATTATCTGTAACACACATAACCAACAAAGTACTGATTTGAGAATATAACAGGACTCCTACAAGTCAATTGGAAAGAGACAGACAACTCACTTTTTTAAAAGGGCAAAGACCTAAAAGAGGCACTTCACAAAGAGGGCATTTTTGTGGCCAATAAGTAACTTATGGAAGGGTGCTCAACCATTAATCATCAGGAAAATGCATATTAAACCACAATGCAATATACTACACACCAACAAAATGGCTGAAATTTGAAAGTCTTACAATACCAAGTGTCAGAAAAGACACAGAGCTATTAGTATTTTCATACGCTGATGGTGGGATTGAGCACGAATGCAATGTCTTCGAAATCTTTGTAATGTCAATCCTTTTTTTTAATTTTTTTTTTAAGATTTTTTATTTATTTATTTGACAGACAGAGAGATCACAAGTAGGCAGAGAGGCAGGCAGAAAGAGAGGAGGAAGCAGACTCCCCACTGAGCAAAGAGTCCGATGCGGGGCTCGATCCCAGGACCCGGGATCATGACCTGAGCCGAAGGCAGAGGCTTTAACCCACTGAGCCACCCAGGCGCCCCTGTAATGTCATTCCTTAAGACCTAGCAATGCAACTCCTAGGTATATACTCAATGAAATAAATACACTGTCAATTCTCATATCCATAGAAGTTATGTTCTATAAAGTCTCCATGAGCACTGAACCAGCTGGTACTGAACAGTTGCTCCCCAGGGAAACAGAGGGTCAAGTTCCTGCCAGCCTCTGGTCACAGCATTTTCATCAACCAATCAGTCTAGAACTTTGTTATGCATGTTTCTGTTTGAAGACACCGTATTTAGAGTGTGTCATTGACTCACTGATGCCAAACTCATGTCCAACAGCACTATAACTCATGCCTGGCCATACCTTATTTTCTCCATCCAGCACACCACAGCCTTCTTGCCTGTAGGAGAACTAGATAGGTCCTCATCACCAACTTTGGGCATCATTTTGAATAGTGAAGTCCCCAAGAAAAAGTAAAAAAACCTAAAAAACATGACACTAAGTGGAGGATGAAAATGACACTTGTTCGTAATAGGAGAACTGGAACAAAGCAGAGCATTGCCTTACTTGACCTCAGCTGAGAACAAGCAGATCAGATGACTCAAATTTTTCACCACTGCGTGTGTATACGTGACAGCAAAAGCTCTGTAGGTATTGATTTTGGGGTTACAAATAAAATTTAGTGAGCAGGCAAATTCACAGAATCCATGAATAATAAAGATAAAATGTAGATACAATCATACAATATTATTTGTAATGATCAAAACCTGGGAGAGAAAACAAACATCGGCGAATAGAAGAAAGGATACATTGTGTAGCTTTCATTTACTGGAATATCACACTGCCAAGAAGAATGTGACTAAGTTACCACCATCTGCAACAGTATGGTAATAAGCTCATAAACATAAGGCTGGACAAAAACAAAAGACAAAAAGGAGGCACAACGATTCCATTTACTTTGTATCTGAGAATATGCAAAACTAATTCATGGTGTTAGAGATCAGGATGGCTACTTTGGAGATACGGGGGTGATGACAGGGAGAGGCACAAGGAGGGTTGCTAGTGTCCTGAAAGTGGTTTATTTCTCCATGGTGGTGATTTATACAAATCACTCGTTTGGTGAAAATTCATCAAGCTACATGCGTGATGTGTGTACTTTCCACTTAGTGTTATATGGCTATCTAAAATAATAAAAAGAGAAGACAGATTTTCTGAGCCATGTTCTGCAGCAAAAGAACTGGAGTGGAGTCTCATCCACACCAGAAGCGACAGTCTTTAGTGAGGCATGCCAGACTCATTTTTTACCTTCCTCATTGTAGCCAATCTGACAGGTGTGAAGTGGCATCTTGTTCAAGGTTGCAACTCTCCACTGGGATCGGTTCATGGCCCACTCAGATCGTCTCCTGTGAATTGTCCTTTCATATCTCTTTGCCTGCTTATTCTTTTCTTGAGTTCCCCATGCTTTTTCTGAGGCCTTTATTGAAAGACATGTTTTATTACCATTTCAATGTCTTTATTTTTATACTCCACCTAAAATTTTTATTTCTTCTTGGGTCCAATTTAACCCCTTATCTCCTTTATAGAAATCAACCCATTTTCTAATGGATTTCCTATGTATTAGAATGTTTGTTCCTGATTTTTAAAATGATTTTTAAAGCAACTTGTCTTCATGCATAAAGGCAATTCTCCTT